AAGTTTGGCTGTCGCGATGGGCTTGGATTCATGGTAGGAAAGGACAGGTATAAAATGCATCTGGCAGAGGCTGCTGACACAGTGGAAAAATCAAGCTGCAACAACCACCGGGCAGTAAATCAAGCTAATGCTGCTCAGCACAAGCTGGAGTCCACCGGTATTGGGGGAGTTGCCTGTGCCCAGCACGGTTGATTTGTCCCTCACTCTATGGTGGATTTTCAGAAAGGTGAAAGGCAAGCCACATCCACCATTCCACATTCACGAGTTAACCATGAGTCACTTGCAGACAAATGAACATGGACTACGCCCTTTGTGAGGCTTCCCGGCACAACATGGAAGGCATCACCAGGGCCGTCACCTTCTATGATATCAACTGTCAATACAACAAACACTTTCGGGTTTGGGTGGATCGAGGTCGATTTCTAGAAATGGCACCGCAACTAACCATCATTCCTGGAATTGGGTTGTGGCACGTTCATGGCCATCAGGACAGCTGCTATGTCCGATATGCATCTAACTTTATTGAAGGCATTGGTCGGATCGATGGAGAGATCATGGAGACGCTATGGGCACAGCTCAATCTGATTTCCCCTGCTGCTCAGGGAATGTCATCTCCGCACCAAAAGGAATGCCTTGATTATCAGATGAATGACTCCAATTTCTGCAAGATGATTCGCATGAAAAGGACTCTATGCTGGAAATACAAGCTGGCGAGGAATGGCATCTCGGAAAGTGGAAAGGCATTCGACAGACTCGATGAAGCAGCACCGGCACATTTGAAGACAGAATGGTTAGCCAGGGAGAGGATAGCTCAGTCAAGCAGATTGAATGATCCTTCAGCGGAGCCCCTTCAGTGACAAATTCCGTATTATACAGGCCAGCAGATTATGGGCCCATGTTGTGTATATTCTCGATGATGACAGATGGGCCGGGAAACATATTATTTCTGATGGAGACAGGTGGGCCCATGTATGCCAATGATATATATATCCTTGATGTTGACGGATGGGCCGGGGAATATGATCATTCATGGAGATGGGTGGGCCCATCTGGGTAATATGTAGAGTAGGATATTATAGACAGCTGGGCTGAAGAGATGTAAGGCAAATATTGTTATATAGACGGGCGGGCCGATGGGGGTGTATTACATATATGGGTGGGCCAAGGTAGGGGAATATTACATAGATGGGTGGGCTGATGTGGGTGTATTACATATACAGGTGGGCCGATGAAAGAGATATCAAATAGATGGGTGGGCCGAGGGTGCGATAAAATATTTATTACATAGACAGGTGGGCCAACATAGGATGTATTACATAGACGGGTGGGCCGATGTGGGGGATAATACATAGATGGGTGGGCTGACGTGGGGGAATTGTACATAGATGGGTACAATATGGGTGAGCCTAGATATGTTTCATCAAGACATACAGCTGATGTAGCCACCAGCAAATCAAACATGTACACTATGAGTGCATATACCTACCATCGACCACCAAATCTAAACCCCTAAGCACGAAAACATGAATCGACCATGTGTGGCATTGACCAATAATTGAGGACTGAAGTGGAAAACCCCAAACCGAGATTTACCAAGCCCCGAACCCTGAAATTGTGGACTGCCGGGTCTTGGGGGTCGGGGGTGGGCACTCGGGACTTGGGAAATTTGGGGAGATCAATAAAATTTGATTTACAACTGAGTTGATTGACAAACACATTGACTTACCCATTTTTGAAATATATTTTTTTGTCTCACATACCGAGTTCCGAGTTCCGGGACCCCCGAACCCTGAAACCCGGCAGTCCACAATTTCGGGGTTCGGGGCTTGGTAAATGTGTATGGATATATGAAGGGTTGATTTAAACATTTTTAAAAGATGTCTCATATCAAATGTCAAGTCCCAAGTTTCGATTTCCGGGTTTCGGGAGTGCCGAGTCCCAAAGCCTGGAGTCCTGAAACCTGGAGTCCCAAAACCTGGAAATCAAAACTCAGGACTTGACATTTGATATGAGACATCTTTCAAAAATGTTTAAATCAACCTTTCATATATCCATACACATTTTACCAACCCCCGAACCCTGAAATTGGGACTGCTGGGTTTCAGGGTTTGGGGGTCTCGGAACTCGGAACTCGGTATGTAAGACAACAAAAATCTTTCGGGGTTCAGGGGTTAGTGAAATGTTTATAGATATACATAGGTTAATTCAAACATGTCTGAAAAATTTCATTCATCTCAAATGTCAAATCCTGAGTTCCGGGTTTCGGGACTTGGCACCCGGCACCCGGCACTCAGGGTTCAGCACTGAAAATTTGACATTCGGGTGTTTGGTGTGTGTGAGGAATGATAGCTAGATGAGAGGGGTGAAAGGGGGAGAAAGGGTGAAGTGGGGTAAAACCAAATAGACCTCTGGACGCGAGTATAGATTCGGCCCAAGGGGATTGCTACTGAGAATGATTCCTCTAGTAAAAATATGGAGGGGAAACTTTTGAACTGGTAAGAGTAAGTGAGAATGGAAGAGTGCGTGACATTGCGCTTGAAGTGATGCGAGCGTGAGCGAGCCGCCGAAGGCGTGATACGATGTGCAACGGAACAGCCGAAAGTTGACGGGGCACGGAGATGCGAAGAAAAGCCGACGGTTTATATGAACGCATGACTAATGAATATGCAAAGGAGATGCAAAGCGACGATTGTGAGGGAAGAGAGTTCTGACTATGGATGCGATGAGCGATGTGTGGGCGATAGCGCGACCGTTAAACAGCGCACGATGTAGTCAGCCGAAGGTTTCTGACTTAGAGTCTGAGAGATGTGTGCAAACGGATGATAATTTTGATAGCGGGAAAAGAAGATACATGAAAAATCATAAGTCTAAGGTATATATGATAGCGTGCGTAGCGCTGTTCGGAGCCGAGAATAACGGTAATACGTATTAAGGGTCTATAATGCAAGTAACAAGATACGCGATATCACCTTCGGGATATAATCAGTCTAACGTGAATGAGATAAAATACGCACCAATGGACAAGCGGAGGACAGGATAGGACGGAGGAAGGACGCACGATGGAACCGACGAAAAGCGGATGTGAACCGAAGCGCGCGCATGAGCCACGGCCGTCGGCCAATGATAGGAAGGATGCGCGCCATGGTAGTGATAGCGCGTGCTGCAGTAGGACCTGAGGGATACTGCAAAAATAGCCTCTACGAGGCTACAAGGACTATAAGTCCTACATCAGGTTTCGGGTGATATCTAAATCACAACAGCTTTGAGTTCTGCCAAAGCGTGAAACTTGAAACCCAGTGTGCAACATGTTGATTTTTCATTTATATCACACAAATCATCGAGTTCCGAGTGCCCAGTGCCGAGACCGAAGCCCGAGACCCGAAAATATTACACAACATGTCCATTTTTCACTCACTGCACAAATCACCAGTTTCAGTGCCAAAGCGTGAAACTTGAAACCCAGTGTGCAACATGTTGATTTTTCATTTATATCACACAAATAACCAAGTGCCAAGTGCCAAGTGCCGAAGCCCGAAGCCTGAGACCCGAAAATATGTATATAACATTTCCATTTTTCACTTGTTGCACAAATCACTGAGTTTCAAGTGCCGAAACCCGAAACTCGAAACCTGGTGTGCAACATGTTCATTGTTCATTTACATTACACAGATCATCGAGTTCCGAGTGCCGAGGGCCAAAACCCGAAGCCCGAGACCCGAAAATATGTACACAACATGTCCATTTTTCACTTACTGCACAAATCACCGAGTTTCGAGTGCCAAAGCATGAAACTTGAAACCCAGTGTGCAACATGTCCATTTTTTATGTACATTACACAATTCATTGAGTTCCGAGGGCCGAGGGCCGAAAATATGTATGCAACATTTCCATTTTTCACTTGTTGCACAAATCACCGAGTTTCAAGTGCCGAAACTCGAAACCCGTGTGCAACATGTTCATTGTTCATTTACATTACACAGATCATTGAGTGCCAAGGGCCGAATACTGAAACCGAAGCCCGAAAACATGTATGCCACATGCCCATCTACTCATTGCACAAATCACCAAGTGTCGAGTGCCGAAACCCGAAACGTGGTACTTCAAATGGACATGAATTCTGTCTTTGTATGTATTATCCATTGGTGTAGGGTTGAAATAACTTGGGAATTGTATTTGTCAGTGCTCGGTAGTTGGTAGTTGGTAGTTGGTAGTGGTGGTTGGTAGTCAATATAGGCAAATGATAATGAAAAATGAAAGTTGTTATTACGCTTAACTTCCTTACCAAGGTTGTAGTCCGAGTCTAGGGGAGTGTATTGGTAGTCTTTTCTTGTCCATCAGTTATCATTTAACCGAGATATAAGCTAAAGAAATCTGAAACATCGGCGATAATGAAAATGAAAGTTATTATTATGTTTAAGTTCCTGAACAAAAGTTGTAGTCCGAGCCAAGGTGAGTGTATTGGTAGTTTTTTCTTGTCAATTGGTTATCTCGTTACTTGGTACTTGGTACAGGAATCAGTACTCGGACTTTAATGTCTGGGTCAACTCATATTTTCACTATAATCCCTTCTACCCACCCACTACCCCTCAGGGCAGTAGGGCACGTATGGGTTACTTGGGTAGTTCTATGATCTATCCTACATATTTGTAATGATATTTTTGGCCTGAATCATATATAAATGTGACTTTGTATAAAAGATGTCTATTGTCACTCTCCACACATATGTCATTTTGCCTATCATTACATCCAATCCTTCATGAATCTTTCTAGGCTTTTAAGCTATTATAATGGATGTATATGGGTGTTTATTCCAGGTCTCTCATCACATCACAGGCCTTGTTATGTTGGATTATCTCGACATAATGTGCAAGTCTCGCTATTAATATTCATTCTTTTATCTTTACACTCACTTACTGCACACATGTATTTCATTTGTCATTATTGATGTTTCGGATTTCTTTAGCTTATATCTCGGTCACATGGTAACCAATGGATGAGAAAAGACTACAAATAAACTCACCTAGACTCGGACTACAACCTTCATTAAGCTGACTACTGATTCCCGGGTACCGAGTATCAAAACCAAATACTGAGTACCAATTACCATGTACCGAGTACTGCATAATGAGTAACAAGATAACCAATTGACAAGAAAAGACTACCACTACACTCACCTGGACTTGGACTACAACCTTTGGTAAGGAAGTTAAGCATAATAACAACTTTCATTTTTTCATTATTGCTGATGTTTTGCTGAATGACAAGGAAAGACTACCAAGACACTCACCTTGACGTGGACTACAACTGTCATTTTTCATTATCATTTGCCTATATTGACTACCGAGTCTCGAGTACCGACCACTGACCACCGATCACCGAGTACCAAGTACCGAGTACTGACAAATACAATTACCAGATTATTTGAACCCTACACCAATGGATAATACATACAAATACAATTCATGTCCATGTGAAGTACTGGGTTTCAGGTTTCAACACTCGACACTTGGTGATTTGTGCAACAAGTGAAAAATGGACATGTTGTGTACATGATTTTGGGTTTCGGGCTTTGGGTCTCGGCCCTCGGCACTCGGAACTTGATGATCCATGTAATGTAAATGAAAAATGGACATGTTGCACACTGGGGATTGAGTTTCTGGTTTTGGCACTTGAAACTTGGTGATTTGTGCAGTGAGTGAAAAATGGACATGTTGTGCACATATTTTAGGGGTTCGGGTTTCGGCCCTCGGAACTCGGAACTTGATGACTTGTGTAATATAATTGAACAATGGACATGTTGCATACCCGGTTTTGAGTTTCAGGTTTCAGCACTTGAAACTCGGTGATTTGTGCAACA